CAGATGGCTTCTCAATGCAATTCAAAACTAAAAATAACTGAAAAGTACAACCGATATTCCACTAATCAGAGGTAAGACAGACTTAATTAATCTAGATTTAGTTTGCTACAGCTCCCTGACAGATTTATTTTTATTTTTTAATAGACTGCATTAAACTGATTTTGATAGGAAGCTGTTATTTTGAGTCCAAGAGGCAACTGTGTAGTAGTGCAATTTCTAGTATGCACGTTCCTCCTGTCATATCCTGCAACAGTCAAACAAAACGGGTCAGCTTAATTTCAATTATAATCAATTAGCAATGAACAGTGCTGCTCAGAGGGCCCCTCAAAACATTACAGCATATGATGATCAAGAACCAAAGCAATTCTTATCCAAATAAGCATTTTTCCTAAGCTTAAAATAACTTTGTCAGGATGGAAATTTCCAGTGAACATGAATGACTAGCACTTCATTTGAGAGTACAGTTTATTATTGCCTCATTTTCAAGAAGTGAAATATGGGATCAATAAAGAGTTGAAATTATTTTTAATAATAGAGGTTAAATAGTAATATGCTGCAAGCTTCCCCCACTGCAGGATTTTGGCACCAAACTGCTGTGGAGGATCAACTAAGTGTTGACCAACCTCACACACAGAGCTAGGTCAGATTCCTCATGACTGGTTTCCAGCATATTAGAGAGATGGGAACTTGCAGCTATGCTAAGTGGAAAACAAACCTTTAAATAATACCTTCCTAAGTAAGGTGTTAGTTAATGCAAATCTGATATCGAGTTGCCTAATTCCCAGGTTACTCTTGCACTTAGTTTATACAAAGTCCTTGAAAAGAGGCATTGCAAAGAGCAGCACAGGAGAACCACAAATTCTAGTTGTAATGTTAAACCTAACTTTTTTGATCCAAAAGGTCTTTTAGGAAAAAGATTAATTCTATACCCCAACAAAAAAACTATCATCTAATAAGGTGACGAAGCAGCAATGTTTAAGCAGAGTTAACTAACAAGCACTACTGTGTGAGCAAAGCTACTAACTTTATTCACCACCTCTTCGATAAAAGCTGAGAAGATCCAAGGATGGGCAGATGCATAAATTCCACATCTGTTCATTTTCAAATTTATTGTTGAATTAAGAGGCATACCTATTTTTGTTCTTTGTGGAATGTGAAAGCACAGTTGTTGCATGTTCTCCAAAAAAATTGCACAAGATAACCAGCAAGAAATTTAAGTAGCCCAAAAACAGTTGAGCAGTATTTTGTGCTTCAGATCCTCAATGCCTTAAAGCTTTCTACTAAAAAAAACTATACTGAGTAAACTACTAAATCACACTGCTACTTTCTCAGAATGTTCTGCTAAGATTGGTATCATAACATCTCGGTTGGAAAGAAAAGAGTTAGCCACTGTCCAAAAGCTAAAGCTTAAGGAAAAAGCTTCCAAGTCAGGCTGAAGTTGCAGCATGAACTTTGATGATAATTGGATTTCAGCAGCAAAATATTCAGCTAGCAGCTGTTTCAATCTAATTGACTGTGGTAATTAGTTAGGTTTATAGCCATACGAACAGGCACTGCTCATATGAACGTAGCTTAGTGGTATTTTAACAGCTCTAATTTATAAAATATAAAACTGAAATTTATAGTAGATTGAAGCTAGAAAGGGGGGAAAAAAAGCCAGTTACCCAAAGTGCCTAGCCACCCCTTTTTTTTTTTTAATGAGCCATATGTAATCACAACTTTTACATTAGATCATATATATAGCAGAAGCATTCTTACATCTGTGCTTTCATTACTAGTGTTTTCTTCTCTCTTCCGTTCTTCTTCCTCTTGCTCTAGCTCCTTAATGCTCTCCTCTAGAACGTTAGGCCAGAAATCCCCTTCGAAGTAAGGTAGCTCTTTTGCACTTGTTAGACGATCCTCTGTTGCCTGCTTAAATATATCCTGAAAAAGAGCAAAACACTTCGTTACCACTACTACAAGACACATAAGTAAAGGCAACCTTTTCAATAAGTGATAAAAAAGCACCAGCAGAGCAAGAAAAGATCTTAAGAGCTTAATATTTCAATTCATTTTATGAGGGCACATTCTAAATGGAATTTAACACTGCATCAGTTACAGACAGTTCGTCAAATACATTTCAAATATTCCCACTCTGAAGAAATAAACCATTACCATGTGCTAGACTTCAATATGCATACCTACCAAATAGGACAATATAAAATAAATCAATATAAATAATAATAAAAAAGGGACAATATAAAATAATTATAAAATTTATATATATTGTCGACACTAGCTGAAGTCCTGATAATTCCAATAATATTTTACATAATTCTAACTGCGTCAGCAGCCTAACCCTGCAATTTTATTTAGCATAGGAAGAGTAAAGATTCCGTGTATTTTCTTTGTGTTAATGAAATGAGATTTGCTCTCTTTTACAGTATTCCTCAAGAATTTAGTTTGTTCTAAGGAACCATTGCAAATCTCTTACTAGAATAATTTCAGAAGCTACATGCTTTGAAAAGGATATATTTTAACTCTACACTTTTAGGGCTCAATTAACTTAAAACTAATACAGTAAACTCCAAGAATCAGGCACAATGCATAAGGCAAGGAAGAAACCAAGACAAGACCAGTCAAACACCGCCCCCTCAGTACAAACATACACTTCACAAACCTTGTAATCATGGACAATGCGCTCCGACACAGATTTGTCCAGCATCTTTTTGTACCACTCTTGCAGTCGTTTGGGTTTGGGTATCTTTTGGTCAGGAGGATGGCAGTGGAAGATGTAGTCATCTCCTTCACTAGGTGGGCATGCCCAGATATGTCCAGTAGTATACCTAGTATCATTAGACAAAAAAAAAAAAAACAGTACATGTAGGCTCTGAAGAGGAACGCTGGAGCTTGCTCTACTCTCCGCCACGAGATGGAGCCACCACAAAGTTGGCTGGTGTTACCAGATGGACAATAATTATAGCTCTCCAAGATTTTAATTCTAGTGTTCATTCCGGCTTCATTCATGCGATAGAATTACCATCTTTTCCCTAATTTTTTAAAATTCAGCGCTCTATGTGGAGTAGTTTATATAAAGTGTGTACATTTTCCAGTCTAGATAAAAATCAAAGCCTGATATAGACCTGCAATTGCTGCCTCCCAATCAACTAACAAGAGAAAGATGGAGACTAGCTATTTCAGTAGTAAAAGCCAGAATTCTGTTTCCTTGAGACAGTACAGTCTTTCATTTTCTGGCAATATTTTAAAACCAGATTTACTTAAACACACAATTCACTTTACTGTAAATCCTCTGGTTTTTAACTTTTGAGTTTTAAAAGGTTTCACAATTATACCTGGGAATAAACAGTCACTTCCAACATACGCTATTGGGTGTACAGTCTAAGTACTTTGAAGACAAATGACATTCAAATAGTAGCAGCTGCAGAGAATATAATACCACAAAGATCACTTCTTCATCCTCAGTTCTTCTCTATTAGTTTTTGAAAAGAACGCCAGTAGGAGGAATAATCAGATCTCAAGTTAGAGAAAAATATCCATCCTTGCCATGGTGAGAAACAGCTCTGCAGAACCCTACCCAAACCCTGGGAACTGCAGCCAGTTGTCATTCCTTCTGCCTGAGAAGGGAGAGATGATACTGCCTGACCAATATTGTTTTCCCAAAATGAGAACCTGATGTTACCCATTAGCATAGCAAACAGCATTAAGTAAAACTGAGGCCTGAGCTCTACGCAGCAATTTTACAGACTCACAGGTTAGAAAATGCACAATAAAAAAAGGGCAGAAAGGAGTCTAATGTGTGCCTTTGAAGTACTAAGGAATATCATCATCTCACTGAGGTACTGAAGACAGTACCACCCACCTCCATTCTGACTCCCCTAATTTTTCTCATGCAACTACTCTAAACAGTCCCTAACGATTTCTTCATGAATAACTCTGCCAAGCTACATCAGATACCTTCGACAATAGATTTATGTTTACTTCACTGCCTTTTCTACTTCAGTAATCATGGTCATTTAATTTCCACCTCTCTCATTTCTTCAGTTGTTCTGTGGTCTCTTTTGTGCTGTCCCAAGTATACTCTCCTCTTTCTCTTCTAGCTTTTCCGTTTCTCACAATTTCAACTACTCATTCTAGAATAGATTTCTTTGTAGCCTTACACAGCTGTTGCAGAGTTAGTCAGTACATGCAGAATACACTTACCTTTCTCCTTATAAACATGGGTAAGAACTTACTTGCCAGCCCAAATGAATGACCTGATTAAAGCAGTGGCATTACATAAGAACTGCACTATCAACAAGCCCAGCAAAATCCTATGGTCCAGATAAAAAGGCTCACTTTTTCTACTTAGACTTAAGGAAGTTTTACATAAGTCGGGAAACCTAAAAATATCTGAAGCATAAGCCTCTCCTGAAAAGCCTGCAATCCCTTTTTGTCTTTTCTCCTTTTCAACTATACACAGTTGTTGCCAAGTTATTCTATCACTGGTTGATATTTAGGCACCATATTCTGCACAATAGGATGTAGTAATTTTATTTACAATAAGAACTACCTAGCAGAAATGCTGCACAGAAGAAAACATTAAAAAAAGACTTACCCTAGTTTCTTGACATATTCTAGATATCCAATTAGTATTTCGTGATAGACAGCAGTCCTCAAGCATTTAGGGCGGAAGAAATGAACACTGTCAAGGTAAGATATATACACTCGCCTAGGAAAAAGAAAAAGGCATGATGAGAAGCGGAGATTTCAAATTAGTTCTACAAGTTTTTTCATGTGATTTTATACATTTGAAGCATCCAATACAACAGCAGTCTTCAAAGCCTCTGATCCTAATTTACCTCTAGAAATTCAGCTTTCTTTTGATATCCTAGCCTCATCTCTTCAAAACTATGCAATCCCTTCCTTGAGAATAACTGACAACTGATCCTTAAGGCAACACTGCCTGCCAGCCTGCATCCCCAGTAAGAAGCGACTTTTGCTGACGTATTCCCTACAGAAGCTACTTTACTTCTAGAAGCTAACAGCACTAAGAGTTTTCACATATGCAACACTGAAGCTCTATATAGAACTTCAGAAGGTTCACCCAACTGAGACAGTACCAAAATAAAATAAAAACTTTCATGCAGCTCCTCACCTTTGATTGGGTGGAGGACAGTCTGAACCATACTCCTGTACATGCATGCCAAAGAAGCACAAGTCTACACCATCAATCTCCTCAAAGGCAAAAAGCGCTTTTGTTCGATAAGGGAAAGACTCAGCCATCTCTCCGCTGTCTACAAACCTGCGGATTACAGAAGGTAAAGAGGAATACCAAATATATTCACATATTAGAGCATACATATCACTAGGTAAAGGCTACAATGATGAGGGCTACTCCAAATGTAATTTTAGTGCAATTTGAAAGTTAAATGCTTACAGTCTACTCAAAATACAAGGCATCCACTTTTTACTATGAAAAAGATGACACTCATCACAAATAATTAATATGCTGCTGTAACATCTATTTGTCAAGAACTGGTCAGTGGTGAGGTTTTGTATACAACAGTATTTTTTCAAGATAGTAGTATGTAAGTAAATTCAAATAGCTTCCACCTCCCCCAAAAAAGGGAGCAAAATTAGAAATGGAAAGAACATACCTTGCTTTCATTCCTGGTTTTACTTCGACAGTTTTGTCAGATGCATGTACCACCCTAACTGTAACCTCTCCTGCCTCAGGGTGATTCTGTCGTCTTAAGAAATCATTGACTCTGTTCTCCAAGAAGGTACCAAGTCTTGTAGCCGGTAATCCTGCAGGAGAAAAGTACAGCTCTAAATATATACAAAACCGAACTGTTCAAATGCGATTTCTCTATTCAGATGTTCAATGAAAAGTGACTCTTAATACATGCAGTATGCTATCACAAATTAAAGCTTTGTCTTTAAACACTAACACTTCTAAATGGGGTGAGCTGCTTTTCACCTGCAGGCATGTTTATGGTTTATACATTATTCAAATGAAGAAAGAATCTGTATTTCAACCCCATTTCTATCTGTCTTAAAAGTCAATCACAATTAAGACTCCTCCTGAATACAAGCTATTAATTACTTAAACTGGATTGCAAAACACTGCTCTCAAACATAGCTTCAAGAGCAGACATTGCATTTAGAAGTATATTCTGTCTATAAAGCCACACTAGCCAAGTTAGTCTCTCCACTTACCAAAAGAATATATTTCAATAATGGAAAGAACGACTAAATACAACTCTATCTGCTAGTAATGTAGTTAGTTTAGAAGTTTCTCATTTTCAAACAATCTTCATACAAAAGAAGTACAAGCATAGCATTAGCTGACACAAAACCTAAAGCTGAAAGGGAGTTTAAGACTTCTGGTGTAACAGGGCCTGTCTCATTGCTGTCTATTACCTCTGCTAGAGTTACGTATCTGCCAACCAGCTTTTCATTTTTCCAATTTGACACCTTTCAGTAAAGCGTCACTATACTACGTTACATATGCAATACATACAGGTTGCTAGAAACAAAAGCTAATAAAAACTGCAGAAGAACCCTCAAATTCTTTCTGGATTCTTGGTAAATCTAGGAAGTTTTGATTTTGGAGATTTTTGGAAAAAGACTCGGATAGTAAAACCATTTACTGAGCGGTTTGCTTTCCATTTCATAAGAACAGTTGACGAGAATGCTTTTTGTGACCAAACTGTAAGCCATCCCCCAAATTTCAAGACAATTTACGGTCCTTGATATCTCCTTCCTCTTCTTCCAAAGAAAGACCTTAAAAAGTAACTGCTTAACACTACAGTTAATACTTGTTAGAATCTTGACGCTATTGTTGGCTGGGGATTTTTTTTTTTAGCAGCAGAAATGTAAATACTCACTATTTTTAAGAAGTACACAAACCCAAGAAGCTTCTGAAAGACTATTTTGTCTACAGAACAGATGGACAATGACTGCCCAAATTTCCTTGTACGCTGCCTTTAAATCAGCTGCCTTGATCAAGAGGAAGTATCTATAGAGAGTTGTCACCAGCTGATGCAACCTTTATCTCCATCAAAGCTTTTAAGAGTAGCAGTACTCATGGTGACTTGAACATGTTATCATAAACTTAAGTTAGACTGCAGTCACACAGCAACTATTTCCCAATGCTATTAATACTGCAACTGAGAGAAAAGGATGTGTATCTTACCATTTTAGAGCGCTGCTAATGCAAGTTAACCCTCTACAACAGACTACTAACCAACAACACCACCCGTGAATGCAAACATTCTGAACATCACAGAACTGATGTTCAGAACTAACCAAAAGTATCCTCTTTTAACTCAAAAAAAAAAAAAAGAAATAAATGCAAAACAAGCACAAAAGTCACCTCTTCCCCATTCTTAACAAATTATTTAAGATTTGTTGGTGCAAGCATCAGAATCTTACTTTTAGCAGAGAATTTGTTCTCCTTCCTGGTTCGTCCTGTTTTCTTTAGACAGCCATCACAGACAAAGCTGAAGCAAAAATAGGAGAAAGTGAAAAACCACCCCAAGTCAGACTGTAAAGTTCTTTAGCATCTTACCATTAGAAGCAAAATCTTTCACCAGATCTTATCTGGTCTGAAAAATACCTTAACTGAAATTTGAAATAAAAGACAGCACAAAGAACAGTGCCAGCAGAAATGGCCCAACTGTTTCAGAGCTGCAGAGGAGGATCTAAGCTCCAGGGGGTGCATCTCCTGTCAGTCACCCATGTCACCACCTGCAAGCCCAGGAAACAGGGTCTCCACTGGCAGGTCTAACAATATTGGCTTAAGGTATTCTTGGAACAAATAGTCTGAAACTGCTGTCTCTGATGAAGATGAGATACTGCAATACATAAAGCAAAAGGCTGATTTTTTTCTAAATGCCCAAGTGCACTGTAGCATGAAACAACAGGCAGATTCTTCCTCAGTTACAGGATGTCTACCCTCTTCTGCAGCAATGTGGATGGGACAATAGGAAGTCAGCTTTCTTGTCAAGAAAGGGAACATAAACTCTTACAGAGCTTTATCTACATATCATTTATCAGCTTTTAAAAAAGCTTTTAAAGCAATCAGAAAAAAAACCCCAGTATCAAGAACTATGGAGTATCTAAAGACGACTACATTGTTTTTCAGATTTAATTTGATCATTGAGGTAAAAAAAAAAAAATTTAACAGTGGTTACAAAATTTTTTGAAGATGACAAAGCAATATGATTTGTACAGAAAATAGATGAGTATGAAATTGTTACCAGAACTACAAACATCTTTTCATGAAGGACTAGTATCTTTAAACATAAATGTAAACGTAAATGGCTGAAACATATGGCTGAAAGGCCCTTTTCCACACACAGCAATGTTAGAAACAGTTAAGATTAGAAACAACTTCACACACAACACAGTAAGATGTGATGCCTAAACTTTATGTTACCCTGTATATTCTGTAAATTTTTCAGGTGGGAATGCAACTTCTTCCATTAGACACTCATTTAAATATAACCAATATAAGGAAGTTTATGCACTAACTCTAGTAAATCTATCATACACTCTCTACTTAAGAAGGAGAAATTCCTCACCCAGAAGGCCAGATTATCTCATTATGAAGAACACAGATCTGGTGCATTTTTCTTCCACACTCTATACATTCAACAAATCTGTAGAAGGAAAAAAGGGGGAAGGGAAGCAAGGTTAGTAGTATCATTACTTGCTTGTATATTTTGTAACATTTTATTAGAGGAGTTCTAGCATTTATGCTCAAGAGCCTATTTAACATAGTGGGCACATCTATGCTGATAACAGCCTCCAGAATGAATTAAGAACCTGCCAGCTCAAGTGAGGTAGGCTATGCAGGGACACATTATTATTACCATTTGCTTGCCTTACTGCCATCCGCTTCACTCATTTTTTTTAAAGTGAAGCCCTTCTAAGGATAAAATCTGTAAACTCTTTGTTGCTATAATGAAGAGAGGAAAGTGGATTCACAGGTCTCGGAAGCGAAGAACCAGAGAAATAGTTGGCTGTTAGTTGCCCCACTGTGCTTGAAGCCTGGGGTACATTGCAAATATACTGCAGAAAGGTGGGAACGAAGAACACAGAAGCAATGTCAAAGTCACTTTCAGAAGACTTAGCAGAGATTTAAGGACAACTGAGGTAAGTGGTATGGTTTACTTCACAGATGTTGGCAAATACAATTCTCCAAAATACCTAAGGTTGCTTCATGTACCAGGACAATCTGACTCCTTTTGAACATGTCTATTTATAAGAGTCTGAGACTTTGAATGAATAGCTGCCATTTATGCAGGGCACATACTGTAAGTCAGGCTTGTATTCTAGCATTAGGCTGCATCTTCACTATAACAAAGGGAAAGAAAAGTTATGAATCAAAGTTACTATTCTCTCCTTCCCACAGCGCTTGTAAAACAGAAGAACTGGCTGACCCTTATGCCCTTAGAAGGATGGCGTGGGAAGAATACATATCCTTTTTGCTCATTCATTTGAGAATGAAGGTAATGTTTGCAGAGTAGCAGCATAGGTGTATAAAGCAGCAACATGTAAAGTGGCTTCAAAAAACCATCAGGAATATAAGGAAAAGCAGCTGAGTCACCATCATCTTTCCTGAACGTCTACAGTTCTGCTTCCAGAGCAGTGTAGAGGAACCGGCTAATTCAAATTTAACAACTTTTCCTTCTACTACAGCTGCCCGTAAAATATGACAACTAGAAAAGCCAACAGCACCAAAAGAGCTACTGCCAAGTGACACAAATCAGTTCTGAGACCTCAGCATTTGCCACAACAGGGTTTCAAAGCAGAGTTGTCTGCATTCATCCTTCTGTTGAATCCACATTCAAGACAACAAAATGCACTAATTTCGGCCCATACGTACAGTGTTACATATTTCTCAAGCACAGCTGTGGTGGTTTGGGTTCTCAGGACAGAATGCCAGATATGCTGCTTACTGAGCAGCCCCTGATGGCTAACAGAGCTACATAAAATTTGGAAAACACTGAAAAACAAAGCTGATGGCGAATGAATAACATGTAATTTACAAAATAGTTACAATGAAATGAGGACCATTCAAAATGTGACATCATTACTTACAGTTCAGGGTCCAGTGTATCGTTTTTCCTTTTTGAAAACTGTTCTTTGTTTATTGTGCTACGGAGAAACAGGCAATAAAACTCAGTTTTAACATAAGACGACATACATTCATGCCATACCACACACATCCACACACCGAGACAAAACTTGCAAGCAGGTTTTTTAAAACTCTCATTGGCACTATGAGGAAAAGAGTTGTATTTCACAGAAGTGACAGACTAAGTATATGCCACCCTTGGCTCTGCCTGTAGAAAACATTCTTTTCTATGCGACAATAGCTTGTAGAGAACCACATTGCTCCCTTATTCAGTTTTACTACAGGATAAACGGTAAAACTTGCTGACATTCAAGTTCTAGACCAGTCTGATCAGTATTTCATAGTGAAAGTACTATTTGATATGCCTCTCTGATATTCTGAAGGCAGAGAATTCCAATTATCTTTGATTACTGAGAAAGGTAGGTTTATCTTATTTCAGATTCTCCTAGTCCTCCTCCTAGATTAACTTCAAAGAATAAATTTCAGCTTCTAAACCCTGCAACCCCAGCCCAGTCATTACGCTACACTATCTTTACCTTCCCTACAGCATTTGCAAGGCTAGAAATTCCATCTTTTTGACAGTGAGGTTCCAGGGATCTTTTCCACCAATCTGGTTCACAGTAGCCAAGAACAATCATACAAGAATACTCAGATCTCTGAAAATTTACCCTGAAGAGGGTACTGTAAAATGTGAGATGATCAGGACATGGCTCTCTGAGAAGCAATGACAGAGACCCAATCCAACTTGCATGAGGTGCATTAACCTTTCTATCCTTTTATTTTGGTGTTTATTCTGAATAGTGTCACCTGCAGAATACTTCAAGCTCCTTATCAGATTAATGAGGAAGGTTCAATCTCCCAATTACCCCAAACTATTATTATAATATGGTGAGTAGAACTGTAAAGAGGACCTAACATACATACTACTAATCTTTTTTGCTTTTGTTCATTTTAACTATATGTTGTGGGAAGAGAGGAAGGGAGCAGGATCTTTATGCCGCAGTAAAATGAGTTCCTAAGAGAAAGTCTGTAAGCAGGTAAGAGAACATTCAAAAGTGTACCTGCTCCTCACGTGCAGCCTATAGCCTCCATTTTCACTACACAACAACCAAGCATTTAAATCTGCTATGAAAAAGAATATCAGGAGCTGGAAGTACATTCTTACTATTGCTTCTGTTCAAAGAGCTTTTGGTTGTTTTCATTATTGGAAAAAAAAAATAATTCCATCCAGCATCTGTTTTCAAATCTAGTGTAAAAATCAAAAGCACTCTATGCTGCCTTCTACCCTGACGCAAAGGTTTGTGGCAAACCATTCCAACTTAAGTGTGTGAGAAAGATCATACGCTCTCAGCAGCTAAACAAGAATTTATATATAAACATGTTTATATCTGATGTTTATTTAAACAGATTTACATTTATACAGATACTTGCGCTTGTCGCGCCTTATTTCATATCCCACATCTCATATTAACAAAACTGGACAATATTGATTAAACTTTGCGTCTTTGCTTCTAATAGAGTAGTAGACCATGCTATCCACAGGGACGTGGCCCGTTGTACTTGACCAGCATACGAACATTATTTCTTCCTTTTTCCTTCCAGCAAGGCAGATGTACTCTTACATCTTCCCAAGTCCCAATGGATTCTTTCACTACTGTTCTCGATACATCCACCAGTGCGACCAGGATTTGGTAACATGCTGCTAAAGACAACTTCTACTTCCAGTGAAAGTTAGCTCCGTTTGTCCAATTGCCAGCTTCAACAACTCTCCCCCTTGGCTTCAGACCTTCCTAAGTTCCTCACTTGCTTCTATCTGCAGTGTTCCTGCAATGCCCTCCCACCACAGAGCTTTCTTCAACAGCTCGAAGCGTAACTGCTTGGCACTCATCTGTGCCTCAAGGGCTTCCTTAGTCTCCCAAAATTCTGTTTCAAGATTTTTTTGGGAGGTGGGAGGTTACACCAGAATGAAAGACTGTCCCAACAGTTTGCCACCGGCATGGAAAAGGCAACTAAATCCATGCACAGCCTTTTACTGTGATCTCCTCAACACCTGCACAGTATTTCTCATAAGCAGATGGCACTCCAACAGTAAAGTATTTGTACGGCAAAACAAGGCTGCCATCTTCTGATTTGGATGAAAAACAATCTGAAGTTGAATACAAGTTTAATAGCATAACCAATCTACAAACAGAATGGTATGCTTGATTATTTCAAACTATGTCTGTCACCTACCTGCCTGCAGGCATGGTTATTTTTCTACAGTAGAATATTTCACATTTTTTTTGGAGAAAAAAAAGCATTCTCCTCTTTCCCCTGTATTGGTATAGTTGCAATTCAAGCACTCAGTGCTTGTTTCTCACTACAGTTCAGATTTTAAAGGGAAAAAAAAAAAAAAAAATCACACCACAATTCCAGGCTTTTAGAAGAATATCTGGTCCACCCTCTACTAGCCTACAAAGAGCAAGCGTTACCTAAAACTAAATGCCTTCCCTTTGAGAAAGCGCTATAGACCATGATACAGCTTATGAATGCACAGCCCAAGCAAACACAAGTAACTCACGTTTGAGGTTGTGATGGGTCATCTCCCAGAGAAACGCTCTCCCCTTGGATTTCGTTGAAGCACTTCTCACAGAAGTGATACCTGTCAGCAAGAAGGCCATATTTGGGTGAACTGCTCCGTCCACACAACATAGCCCAAGCCAAGCAACGGAGCCACCAATCACAGCAGGCCAAGGAAGGGACAGGAGCAGAGAGCAGGTCATCAACGGCGACAAGGATATTCAATGATGCAGATTTATGGGCCCCACATTGTGTTTGGTTGGTTTGGTTTTTTTGGTTTGGTTTGGTTTTTTTTTTTTGCGCAATCAAAGCCAAGTGCAGACAATGACAAGCATGAAGGAGAAATAAAAAAATAACACACACACGAACAAAGAAATGGGGGGGTTGCAGGACAAAAACAAAAACATAGAAGCAGGACAAGACAACACAGAGCAGAAAGCCAAGGCAAAGCACAGATTAGCATTAAATCTCTCAAATGGCTTCACAAGCAGCAAATGATTAAAGCAAATTAAAACAAGAGTATTCCAGTTTAGCATACCCATACCCTCTTCATTTTAATAATCCATGCCACGTACAGCAAAGAATTAAAATGAGAAAGGGGAAAGAGCAGAAGGAAGGAAGAACTGCTACTCTGACTTGTACATCAGCACAGCAGTTCTGGAGGATCTGCAGGAGACCAATGGAAGAAGGATAGTCTTCCATCTTAAATGTAGAAATGCTGAAAGGCCACAGGAATTCTCTCCCAGTTGAAAGGGAAAGCAAAACATCAGAAGCTTAAAGAACAATAAAATCTGTCCTCAAAATCTTACAGACATTAATTATAGAACTGTCAAACCTAATGTTAACTAAATACCTGACATTAACTATACACATAACGCTCTACGTTGATATGATTCTTCCCTAGCCCTGTTTGAGTGTGGAACAGTCCAGGTATCAGTATGGCAAGCATTACAGAGAAAGATTTCACTTACACTTGAATAAAATAGTGATTAATTCAAGATTCTACCCAAGCCCTCAAAAATGTTCTAAAACTGTGGCCTCTCCATTACTAAGGCATGTTAACTGACTGCACAAGACACCCAAAAATAAAAAGAAATAAAAGAAAAAGCAAACAAGTTTATTATAAAGCCACACAAACCAACACTATAGCAGCTGTTAAGCTAAAAAAACAGGTCTCTTAACCATCTCTCCCACTTTTCATCTGGGAGAACTTCTGAAATTGTACATTTCAGTCTACAGATACATGTGCTTGTGTGTATATAACGTAATTTACAAGTCACATGTATGCATGTGCTATAGTGCAAACATTCCCTTCTAATGTTTGAAAACATGTAAAGCATGTCAGATTTTTGAATAATAGTCTTTTGGTCCATCTAGTGCTTGCCCACAGATAAACATAAGCAGAAGATATTAACTTATGATACAAAAAGCTCTACACTATGTAAGTCTAAACTACAATAGTTATTATGGGATACTACAAGCTTATTTTCTACTTCTTCCCTCCTAAAAACCTCCATTCACTGCTATAAACCTTTATGAAGCCTAAGAAGGTTAAGATGTAACTCCTGTAGCTCTTTAGTTGCTTTCACCTGACCAGGTGTTTAAGAAAACTACAATTCTTGCAAAATCTTCTTGGCTTTCAGGTAAAAGCCTTTGTGTTTTTGTTTTGTTTTTTTGTTTTGTTTTGTTTAAGGTGTTGTTGGAAAGAATGGAGAGCAGGAACTAAATTGATGGAGGTGACATAGTTTGGAAGTAACCAGCCCTCTGCTCTAACGGGTGCATTCTGGTGACAGGCCAGGGAATACGGGAGTGTTATAGCACATATTTCCCTGCTTCTTCCTGCCTCGCTTCCCCAATTGGCAAAGAGACATCTAGCGAGAAACCTTCTTTCAAAAGTCAAATAGGTTTAAATCCTTTAATAAACCCCAAGTCAAAAAAATTCAAGAGAACTGTAGAAGTGACAGCACTTCACAGAGCTGCTGACAGCTACTGCAAGACAACTCCCTTAAGGAAATTTGGGGAGAAAAAGCAAGCATCATTCTACTGAAGATCTGAATACACACATCTTCCAATGAAGATCTGCACCACAAAAATAACTTTGCTCTTCAGTGTTAACATCATGAGAAAAACAAAGACTTGCCAAGTATAATATGTATTACGAGCATTAATATACTTGCTGCATAGTTTACTCAGTGTTCTGCATGAAAAATACTGCTGCATGGTAGGAAGCAAAAGACAACAGACTTGTATATGTGATTTGTAGGTAACTGAAGATTTAATTAACTGCAGGATAAAAATTTAGTAAAATGTCACATTTCTGCAAACAAAAGAGGAAGAGCAAAGACTGCAGTGAACTTCTGCAGAAAGAAATCATTAAACACACAAGGTAAACTATTCAAGGGCACTTCCAGCAAATTTTTATCTTAAAACACAAAGGTGTACACATATAAAGAGGGTGTATATGTAAATACATGCATGCCTTTTAAGAGACTGATTGCAGCATGCACAAAACAAGCACCAAGTGAGTTTTCCTTACCTGTTCTGGTAACTGTAGTAAGTGGCATCTCGAGGGATTGTGCATAGCTGTTTGCCATAGCAACACAAAGTCTGTGGTGAGAACTCCAACTGCAAAGAGGAAGGGGTCATCTTAGTACTCATACCTGTTTTCACTTGCTCTCCATGGGAAGCAAGTGTGACCCAGACAACGATCATTTCCACTTTTTTCTGTGCACAGATCTCACAGTACAGCAAGTGTATGAAGTGATAGTCATAACAAACGTTCAGTGGTCTGTTAGTCTCAAGTTAGCTCTTCTCCAAAGATGGAAAGCGTATCAAAACAAGACAATGGAAATACACAGTCTCAATATACAGTGAAATAGAGAGCACTTCTTCTGCAGTAACAAAACCACATCTGTTTAATTTGCAATAGCAAACGGGCTCACCCTAATCAAAATAACCCTTCAGTTACTGACTTTCCCACCCCCCCCCAAGGGCTTATATACAAATAGATAATTTAAGCACTAGATAGAATTAAAAGATCCATAAAAACCTCAAAATCAGATTACTCATGATTGCCAAATCCTGGTAAATTTTCAAGATTTTTGGCACACTGTAACTGCTTAGAACTGCAACTGCTGTATTTTTCTGCCCTTCAATACCAGAAAGCAAGCAGCAGACTAAAAATATTTATTTTCTTACCTTTCTTCCACAGCAATAACCAAGGCTCTGCATAACTGGGTCAATTTCTTGCTCAAACACCTCTGCCAGTTTGGAACAGTACTTATATACCCGGGATGTTTTGCGGTTATACAGCCAGGCATTATTGAACATGAGCCAGATGTCATCGACATATTGCCACGGTTCCTGATACTGTCCTGTGTCTAGCTTCCTCTTGATAGTAGAAAGGTCCATGGGGTTCTTCACTATGTCAAAATAATCCTGCAAGAATACACAGTGTATCAAAACACTGCTACAGAACTACATTGTGACGTGACAGCATGTGTATTCTCAGCATATAAATTCTTCTGCAGTACATCAAGAAAAACATGTTCCTCCCCGACTTGATTGTCAAACTGCTTGTGACAGACAACGAAATCTCTAAGCAATACTGTATCACTCCCTAGTGCTTCCTTTTCATTATTCCTTTATTTCTCAGGCTCTATTGCTCTTCCACTCGTGATGAAATCAAGCCACTCTAATTTTAGTCAGCAAAACAAGTATTACAAAAAAGTAGGAAATGGCAATGTTTTTGCAGCCACTGTGATCTGAGGATATACACAAGAGCATTAATAGAAAGCGACTGTTTTTAGTAGACCAGACAACCTATTAAACAAAAAGAAATAACTTTATTAGACGATAAAATATATCATGTTTCCTCTAAAGAATGCCTTTTTCCAATCCCCCCCCAGCAGTTATAGAACCACTTCTCCTACAAAAGTCCTCAGAATATGACAGCCAATTGAGAGCTTGTTAAAGAATATTAGCAACATTTATGCCTGCTTATCATACAGCAGGCCTTGAATTTTTGCAGTATCTATCCTAAAAAATCCCCACACCAAACAAGACACCTTCCAGGCAAAAAATGTTGCCCAAAGCACTGAAGTAGGACTTCTATGTATACATATTTGTGCATAAATAGTAAACTTGTGTGGTTAATCCAGAGAGTTTAACATATGTATCCTTGAAGGACAGTAATGTCTTCTGAAGACAATTCTAAAACAAGCAGAAAAATCAACCTAAACAAAAACTAGAAGTTGAATAGTCTCCTCCTTGCTTTTAACAGATTAATAATCATTGATGGATTTTTTTTTTTTTTAAAGTGATCTTCATATTCCCACATATTCCACCAAGTTTTACATATGATAAGAAACACCTATGGAATTCAGCAATAGAAGCATCACAACATGAAGCAACATCCATAAAAAGCCCACAGAGCACTGGGGATCTGTTGGTAATCACTTCAATGTATAGTATACCTACTTGTTTACCAAAAGGAAAACCGAACCAAACTTACTTTTGAAAAAACAAACTTTCCTAAGTCAGACACTGTATGTTCCACTGCCTAAACTAAACCCTTTAAAATGCATGAATATAAAAACGTTAACAAGACAGACTTAAGCTGTTCTCAAACAGGTATCCCATAATATAGTAGTTTTGAACTAAAGTCAGGGAAGTATCCAAGACACTCACAGGAATTCCTAGTAGCTGGGGATCCACAGGCTGTCGAAATGGAAGAGACTCTGGATCCTGACGGTAAAGTGCCTCCAGTGTTGGCATAAGCGCCTGCCGCAACTCTTCTGGTTTGAAAACTTTTGAAAAACAATCAACATTAGAAAGATAGCAGAAAGGAAGAAACCTGCTGGAAAATGTGAGGTCTGCGGAACAAGACTACAGACAACGGGTTTAAGCTACTTAGCATGGTTTGTTTATCCTCTGCAATACCGAGCTCTGAGGAAGATATTAAAATGATCACCTGGACACAAGGAGATGGCCAAAATATTAAAGCGAATCTTGTTTTTATCATAGAAAGACACCGCTAAATTTAACAGAGCTGGCTTACATTCCAAATATGTGTCTTCTCTGAGGTCCCAAGAAAAAAACTTGTCTAAAAATCTGTAACTGAGGAGTATTTCAAATCTCTATTTTATCGACAATTTTACTAAGGCTTAGTGTCTAATACTAAAGCCTTAAAGAACTTGCCCAAAGCCAATTACAAGCACATGTGTTATTAGACATTTTTGTCCAACAGCCACAAAGAACAATCCATATAAGCCTACTCAGTATTTTTCCCCCCCCCCCCCCCCCTTCAAGATTTCTCTAGGGAGATGCAGTGAATTTCAGTCAAAACAGTATTCCTGCTCACTTTTTTTCTTAGACTGCCCAGCTGCCGGAGAAGACTGAGTAGCTGGAGTAGTAGGTCTTTCTTCCCCCTCTGGTATTTCAGTCTTCACTTCAGATTTCTTCTCTTCTTGCTCCATTGGTTCTGGTTTACATTCCTCCATGACTGGTTCTACTTTAACCTGGAAAGAAGTTTGGAGCCTGTCACTTAAGTCTCCTGTGAAGTCACCCATCCACATTTCTGTCCTTTAAACCTACCTGCCAGCCTGCCCACCACTCTTACTAGCATTAAGGGTATCTACTTTGTAGTGAAAACTTGCCTAAAACTTGAGCAGATGTGCTAGAACACATCTTTAAACATTGCAGGAGTAGCAATGACAAGTTGCTAACCAGTTCTCAGCTGCAAGTAGACACACAGGTACTCATCCAGCTCTTCGGGCCGCTCCAACGGTCTCTCCTACACTGGGGTTGCCAGGGCAACGCTGCTGGTGGCCACACTCCTAGCTGTCCTCTGTGACAAGCTGTCAGAGCCCAGTGAAGCAGACTATCATGTACATATCCACTATTCTAACATTTGACAGCTGCCAATAACATCTGAAGGACTGACCTGAGTGCCCTCTTACATTGGTATTTACCAAAAAGCCTCACAGCTGCAATCACATTATCATGGTCCTTCCTGTGGCCACTGGCTTCTACCACCATTTCACCACAAAACAGAGACTGTTCTTTAGGAAGAAGTAGAGGAAGACAGCAATCAAAGTAGCAGCAGCAGGTAGCGCCTACAGCTCTCATTGAGCTCTTGAAGCAATGGCTTGCATGGAGACAGAAAGCATCTAGCAGCACTAGATAAAAACATTCTACCCAACAACTGGCTGACAATCTCACCTCAGGTTTCTCCTCCATTTGCAGTTCTGTTTGTTCTGGTTCCCCTTCTTCTGTTTTAATATCCATTTTCACTTCCTGCAAGGGTGGCTGCTGCTGCTCTGGAACAGTCTGCTGAGAGTTCACCTCTGTGCTGCTGGTAGATGGGGGGTTGGATACCTGCCCGTCAATGCTTACAGCTGGCTGTGAAAGCTGAGGGAACAAAACACACATTACAAACAGGCTTCTAATGAACAAATTTTCCTTCTCTAATCTACCTTTTACCTATACTACATTTCCACAACATTTAAATGCACTCTAGTCCTACTTGCTTCACCTGATGAACATACTGCTACACAACTACAACTGCAGAAAAACATGCAACAAACATATACACTTGAAGGCCTAGTATATAGATAATTACACACTGTTTCCCTGCTGTACACCACCACTATACCTATGTAGACATAACTAAATATCTCATCCATGTTTCACAGTGAATTTCAAAACATGCACTAGAATTCTAAAAAATACTCCCTCTCTGGAAACACCAGGATGATCTATAGACTTGTCTTGATGCAAAAAAGGTTACTTCCCAAATGCAATAAAAACTATTTTGATATTAAACATGCCAGGAGCTACCTCCGTTATCAGACTCTCACAAAAATAAAGACCAACTGAAAATTAAACTTTACACTTAAAACATTTGCAGGGAAAGCACAATTAAAGTATTTCCTTACAGGTGTTGTGGGATGCTGAGGCTGCAACGGTGCTGTTGGTGTGGGAACAGATGCAGTCGTGCTCTGCTGTGATAAGGGTTGCTGTTGCTGCTCTGCAGAAGGGGTAACTGGAACTGGAGGCTGGACTTGTGGAGGCAGCTGTGCCTGCGGAGGCGTTGGAGTCTGCCTCTGAGGGGGGTGCATAGTTTGCGACTGTGGTCCAGGTGGCATTGCCTGAGGAGTAGGTGTGGGGGCAGTAGCGGCAGCTGCTGCTGCCTGCTGTTGCTGTGATCCCAAGCCTGGGGGTGTGTGGTGAGGTGTTGGGGTTCGACTAGGTACTGGAGAAGGAGAATTTCGGTGCATGGGAGGCTGTGGAAGAGGTGGGCAGTGAATATGGCTCCCTTGAGAACCTGGAGCCATTGCAGGAGAGTTCACAGGACAGGAAGCGCTGGTCATTTGTGCCTGTGGGAAAACAAGTACACATTTGCAATGACTTGAAATAAAAAAGGAGAGGAATTATTGTCAAATGGATGCTTTCCCACAGTTACTGGCACACTTTAAAAATGCGACAAGTTATCGTTTTTTTTTTTTTTTTTTAAAAACTATTTCAAAAGGAGAAACAGTCTATTCAATTTATTTTGCTCCACATGAACATAAAGCTGTTTTAAAGTTTATTCAGCTCTAAAAGAGACGTTTCAATAGAATAACTCATACTTGTTGATATGTTTAAAGAATGGCACACCTACACTCCCAGTTTGCAAAACATTTCTTTCTAAAACTGCAGATTTGTACATCCTGAATATGGGACAATGCACCACAGTGAAAAATTGCATCCAAATACACTTAGTGTGCCCATGCCCCCACCCCCAAGACTAGAAACTGAATTTATCATCAGAAATCAGTACAGCTGTAACTGCACCATTACAAGATTAAAAAAAAAAAAAAGTATTGGTCAAGGAAAAAAGCTGTCACTCCACAATAATCTTGCCTGCAAACTAGGAAGAAGCATCAACGAGAAGCAAACTGACGTTCCCTACTTCTTCCTGGCCTGAAAGGTTCTTGCTGAAAAGGGAGAGGGAAAGGACAGAAAGGAAACTGCTAGACTGTAAGTTCAGATCTTTAGTAGTGATAACCCTCCTATCCCCCAAAGCCAGTAACACACATTGGTCCTGGATAGACATGCCTTTTTATGACTTAGTCTTCCACAATCTCTTAATTTCTCAGGCTCTGCTGCCTCACTGTTAAGCAAGAAATTCTTAACTACTGCATACTGAGTAACAATTTCTTCTTTGCTCCATAAAACCAATCTTAAAAAAATTCCTCTGTCACACTTAAACTTAAGCCTGAGAATAAGCCAACAATGTTTCACCCTTGCCATTCCCAGTGCTATATCAGGAAAATGCAGAATCTCAATAAATGCAGTTGACTATAATTCCAAAAGCATCTTGAGAAAACAAGTTCTCCTCCATTACTACTAACTGAACAATGAAACCAGTATATGACAGAGCCCACTGACACCACTTCCAGAAATCAGAAACTTACTTGAGAAACTGGTGTCTGATTGCCAGGCTGAGTCATAGGCATGCTCGCTGTGTTCATTCCCGGGGAAGAAGCAGGGAACTGGGTCTGTTGTAGAAACTGATTCTGACCAGAAGGCTGGCCAACTCCTGGCTGCTGCATACGCGAAGGAAATCCCATCTGTTGGAAAAGAAAGGCACTCATTTCGCACAATGTGCGTACACTTCATAACATTTTACAAAAAACATTTATCTTGTTGCAGAAATTGATGCTTGCTGCTTATCTGTAGGATACAATATGGAAAGCCTGCTTATAGCTCCTCTCAAAAGACAGAAATTATGATGATTTCCCTTGTAAGCTAAGGAAAAGGATATTGATTTCAGATTGGGACTGACTTAAGATTTATCTTTGTTCCTTGTTTTAAGGATGCAACAGCACAAAAGGCCACTTAAACTTATTTTTTTAGGCAATTTTTACCACCGAGATCTAAAGGCTTACCATAGACCAGACAAATTCTTCAGTGGACATGCAAAAGGAAGAACCAAAGGGTCAAGAGAACGATGAAATAATGCTTGATTTTTTAAAAAATTATTTATTTATTTATTTTAAGGAAACCACAGCCAACAGAAGCAAACCTGTGAGCTCAACACCCTGGACGAAACGCACACTGACCTGGTTCATGGCCCCTGCCTGGCTTAGCTGTCCAGGGTGCTGAAGAGGAGGGGTTTGCCGGGGTCCCATCGGTGACAGCTGCATGTTCATCTGGCCAAACTGATTCATTCCTGTGCGTTTGTGCCAAAAAAACACTTATAAACAAAGGCTTGAATTCTCCTTTGGGCACCATTCAACATTTGGAGAAGAAATGCTGTCAGTTTCTTCCTAATTTCATTTTCTAGCAACCAGTTTTCAAGCATGCAGTACTAAGAAGGAAATATTTCCTTCTATCAACCAGTTTCATGGAACAATTTTAAATATAAAGTGTCCAAGCTACCATACTCCTTCAGAATACAGAGTATTTCCCGCCCCCCCGAAAGACTTCTTTCCACTAACTTATCAAAGCTCTGAAGTTTAAGAACTACTGAAGTACATGATAAACAACGAGAAGCGTCACATCTACTACTGAAGATCAACTTTCTACCAAAAGTTGCATTATTTTAATTACATATTAGAAATTCACATATTAAATCCCAAACTGCATCTTCACTTCCTTAAGTACTTAGTATGTTGGCTGGCTAGGCCCCCCATGTTTGACTGACCCCATCATCCTATGTTCACACGATCAGAAGTTCCAAAAGCATCCAGTTCTTTATTTAACAAAGCAAGCAGCTAACGTGTAGCTCTTAAATTCACAAGATCATGAAATGCTGTTAGAGATATATTTTTTAATAGATATATTACATATTAGTTATGTGAGTATTATACAATATAGATAGCTATTTTCTTAATCAAATGGGGAAACAACAGGTGAAACAAGGGTTATGACACTTCAGCAAGAGCAGCCCCATTCCAAGATCCCTTCAACATCACAGTAGCAAATTTTCTTCAAATACTTACCTGGCTGTGCCTGCATGCGATTCATCATCTGGTTTGGCACATTGGCACGTATCAGGGTTGGGTCAGGAAGAGGACCATCTGGAAAGAAGATATCGGAATAAGATTATGGCATTTAGAAGACCACCAGGTTTTATCCACCAAACATTTTGGCGAGAATTATATACTAAAACCCACGTGTAAAAGTTTAAAAAAAAAAAAAGCATGGGCACAGTCGAGCAACTCTAAACACTCTTGAAGAGTCCTCAAAGTGTGAAGCAAAACCAGAAACTCCATTCAAAATATGAGCATGCCCCACTGACAGAAATATCCTCTGACTCAGAGTCAGCTTTCAGAAATGGAAGACAAATTTGAAGTATGTTATTGAGGTACAATGACAAACTGAGCAGCTCATGACCATTCCAGACCACAAGAACTTCTGCAGACCATTCTACACTGTTACAGCACCTCTAGATTTAAAAGACTATGAAAACTATATGGTTCAACAGAGTATTTCTTAAAGCTCTGAAGTTTAAGAACTACTGGAGTACGTGATAAATAACCAGAAGTGTCACATATACTGCTGAAGATCAACTTTCTACAGAAGTTACAGCAAATAGAGTCACAGCATTAACCTTTAAGAATCAATCTTGGATCCTGGTAATGCATCTCAGTAAATCCTGTTCTGACTTCAAGCATAAAAAGACCCAGAACTGGATTTACCAAGATACATTCAAATTTAATCAGGAGAAAAAGAACTGAGATTAAGATTCTTGTAGCATATGCTTGAAGCTACTGGATCTTTCTGCAGTGTTAGGAAAAAAAAAAAAAGAAGGAATTTTTTGTCTCCTCAGCTGATGAATTATAATTTTGACCCTAGCTTCTTAGGCCACTTATTACAGTGTCATTGACAGCTATACATCTGTTCCTGTGAGGTGTCTTAAGAACTCAATTCTTAACCGTAAAGTATCTAAGAACATGCAGGACTGAATGAATGAAGGAGAAAATGCTTTTCTTCTGAGAAGGAAGCTCTTGGGAGAAAGATGGGGTGGTGTGGTATGTACTCTAGAAAGTATGTTTGCAGAACTCTTGCACTTAGTTTTAAGAAAGACTATTTCAATCTCCAGAGCTGTCAGTTCAGAATGACAGACAAAAAAAATAAATGTTAAAGCAGATTTTGGCTCAAATAGTTAAAAAATATTAGTTCTCTTTTACAGTTCAATCAGAGTAAAGGATGCAATTCTATTTAGAAATGTACAGTTTAAAATCCCGTATTTCAATTATGTACAGGACTTAACTGGAAATACAAGATTATAATGTCAGGAAATGCCTTTCCCCACTTTCTAACTAAAAATATCATCTACAATAGTGTTACCTGCTTTTGTCTGTTACCCAAATAAAAATATACCAGATACCTGACAGCCTACAGCACCTCGTCCCTTCCTAATGTTGTAAAGAGACATTACACTCTTTAGCAGCATGATAGTTGTAATCATTAATTCCTCTCCAAAGTCAATGTTATTCTAATATACAAATGCATGGTTAGCAGGGAATCTAATAGTAATAATAACCTGTTTGGCATTAGGAAGGTCAATTCAAGTAACAGAACTACTGTGAAATAGAAGACATCTGCATGGGGAAAAGAGTGAAATCTGGTTTTCATTGCATGCTGGAAAGGCCATGTGTCTAAAAAAACCAAACATGGCATAGAACAAGCACTATCTAAACTTTCAAAGGCATAAATACCTAAGCACTCCAATCATCATACTCTCTGTTTAGCAACAATAGTAAGTGATGATTATTTTGAACACCACACAAGTAAATATTATGAAAATATATTTCTCTTATAGTAACCAAAGTTATCTTTAAATCAATTAATTCTAGAAGTGAATCTAATGAGACCAAAGTTCTACAACATTAAGAATGCAACTTGACCTCGATTCCACCCACCTTCAAAGTAAGTGTAAAGGTTTACAATACTGCAATTTGTTCAGAAGACTAAATGCTTCTAGATAATCTATTGTCATTAATTAACACATAAGCAAGGCAAAGATTTTGCAAGTACTTCTGAACAAAGCGAAGAAAGGTCTGTTTAACTTTGATCAAGCCAGGTACCAGTAAAACAAGAAGACCAAAATGGTCACCAGCCTACCAAATGACAATACAGGATTCCCCTGCACCAGGCAGTCAGTAACCCAACTGTTCTTACTTGCAGACATCCCTGGCTGGGGCTGTCCCATGTTGGGCCCTTGATTCATGGGAGCCTGTGGCATGCCCGGAGCGTTTGGGATCATGTTTTGCTTCTGCAGCCTGGTTCTTCGTTTCTCCTCCAACTCCTTCTGAATCTTATAGATCTTCTCTGCTAGCAAGTGATAGTACTCTGCCTGTTGGGGAGGAATACAAATCAGGAAAGGAGATGACATATGTTAAGTAAAGGCAACAGGTCCCAGTGATCCAAGCTTGGAAAACAGCCTTCTACACACACATTTCAGCTTGGGTGGGGGTGGCTCTCCCCTTGCAGACAAGGTTGCTGGGCAGACAAGAGGGCAAAAAGGGGCACTGCTCAGGGCGTTGCTGGCAAGCATTAGGCCAACACTGGACATTTCTCCCAAAGAAGTGCTGGATGCGAGAAGAGAATCACAGTGAAGAGCTTCACGCTGCCTTCAGGGAACCCCAACAAGTCTCAGGCACAGCACACCCCAACAGGCACCGCCCTGACTCCCGGCACACCCAGGCAGAAGCCTGCAGCTGGCTGCTTCCTACACCCCATCCAGCAGCCCCTGAACACACGCTTCCTCAGCCTGGGACTCTCATCTGTGCTTTCACTCCTCTTCCCAACCACTCTAGGATCAAGGCAGAGACACACACGGCTGGACGACAGAGGATGGCATCTCACCCTGCTGTTTGCTGATTCATACATATCCCCTTCCACTTTCCGAGCATATGCCACCAGATTCTCCATACGCCGATCCTTCAGTGCTGCAGGGTCAGGAGTAGGAAATATGGCTTGGACTCTAGGGGAAAACAAACAAAAAAGCGTGCAAGTGATTAGGATGCCTCCAGACTGGGACATCAGCATCAACCCCAGTGATTCGCACACAAAGCAGCAAGGAAATCTTCCGACAGACTGAGGCACTGCTACTGCTACCAGGGGACACTGCCCCCATGTACATGGCTTGAGTTGGAAGTGTCCCACACCGCATACAACAGCCCCAAACCAGCAGATGCAGCTACATTACACACATGCACACCTCAAAGGCAGCAACTCACCCAACAGGAGATTGTTTTGATATTAGCTACTCACAATTTATGAACAAGGTGGTTTCGGAGATCCTGAGTAATGTCTTCATGCCACTGCTTTCGAATTCCGGTATTAGATGGTTGAGCTGTTGGCATGGCTCCCAAACTGGCAACGTTGGTGCTTTCACTCATCATGGGGCTTCAAAAACAGAGCGAGAATTGAGGGCAAAAGTCTAGCCCAAGCTTAGTCATATTACAGTCATAGCCTCTTTTAGAATAACGTTAGGACAAAGTGCTAGTTCAGCCATTCCCTAATCAATGGACAAACTCTGCAGAAATAGCTGCACAGACACCAAAACAATGCTGTGAAAGAGTACATGCTGTCCTACCCAAGGATTTGGAAAACTCTAACAAAAGCTACAAAATCCAAAGGGAGAGATAGCCATCAATGGAATTTACCTCACTGTTTATGCAAGAAGTGCCATGAGATTATTAAACACAAGGATTGCTTTTACATCTCAGTGAATAACTTGCCCCTTACTCCCACTGCAGCTGAATGGCAGGTTTGTGGTATGCCACCCTGATCAATAAATGCACTGGAGCTTCAGATCTGCCCAGATAATAAAGAAGATAATGCCTGTAACCTCTGTGGCCTAAAAAAAGTCAGTTTACAAGTAGTGACAAAGTTAAAATGGACATCAAGACCTCTAGAAAGGATAAGAACAAAGACATCACAACTATGAGGCTTCTTTTCCAACTGTTCTTTAGCAGCAAGCATCACTTAGTCCCTCCCAGCATAAGCATGTAACATCCTTACGTGCACCCCCTTCCACCTCATTTGTTATGGGCAATCATCAGCATCTGCAGCTGAACAAAATCACTGGGGTGCAAAGAGTAATTCAACTTACTTTTGAGAATTCATGGTTGAATGTAACATTGAGTCAGGCAACAGATTAGGGGTTTGAACCCCTACTCCTCCATTCACTCCCATTGGATTTGCACCTAGAAAACAGAAGAATAAGTATTCTTAAACGAACAGCCCATTTACTGTGCAAAATCAGTAATTGCTCAGCAATAGCAAGGGTCTAGACTTTCAAGTACTTTGACTTTTGTGAAGGGAGTTTAATTAACCGTTGCTCTCTACCTTCTACATTTTACAAACTTAGAAAAAGTCTGAGGCATGACACTGGTGACCTCCAAGTGAAGCATCACACACATTCCTCTTCTGCACACCTCCCTGAACTTCACAACAAACAAGCAATTTCAATTTGCTGCAAACATCATGTACCAGAGTCCTTTTCTGTGACTCCCTAACTAAAGATTCAGCATTACCAACCACTTCTGGTTTTTTGTTTAGAAGCTGTTTGGGTTTTTTTATCATTCGGGGCTTAGGATATATATTCACAAAGGCTTCAAAAAACTTAAAACATCAGCTACCTCCTACATCTGACAAGGTCCCCTCTCACCCACTCTATATTTAAGGATCCTTCAACTAACTCCAACGTTTGTACTAAGAAGGAAAATATGACAACCCTTTGCAGGAAAAACCTCTAGTAATTTGTTACGTACCAAAATCTGCTTTTCTGAATCACAGCAGATCTCAATCACCATAAAAAATTGCCTATTTTCTTAACACACTACAGTTAAGACTCAAATAGTGAAGAAAATGCAGCATACTTCTGTCTGGAACTTCTGAATAGATCACTTTGTGAAGCTATGAGAGCAGCATGAAAGCCATTACCAAGCTTCCCATGCTTTTAGGACATCTGAATCCTACGGAATCTGTGTTTCAAGCAAAATTAGACACTGCATGCAAGAGAAATCCACTGAAATTAAGTGTATCAAGTCTAATACATAACTCTACTACCACAACCAAGCGTTTTAACAGACTTTTCATAAAGCTCCCTCCAGCCTCCCTTCCCTTAGTCACTTTTTTTTCTCCTTCCCAGATTCACTTTGCCATCTGCGAGCAAGCTGATGTAGAAGACAACTGTCAACCTTTGCCTTAACTCTCCCTTTTCAACTGCCAAAACCAACCGTTTGTTTGATCTACTTAGGACCGCATCTCTTCACATCACTGTCCTCACCAAATCCTGCTGTTTCTCCTAAACTAGCCCTGTTGTCATGTAGGCCATGACCTGATGATTCCTATCTCACTTCTTGTAATTCCCTCCCTAGCCACTCGCTCCTAATAATAAAGCAACATGTCAAAAGTCTACACTTTCCATGCTTGTCCTTTCTACGTTAAGCTTCAATTCTTCACTCTCCAAGAGCTTTTCAACCCCATCTCATTGGATTTTCTTATCAGCGCTACAAGAAGAGCCCAATAAGAATGCACAGGCCAAACTCTGTGCCTATAAATAAATAACAAAACACCACAACAATTTTTGCTTCAGAAAAATTCATTACACGTTCCTTTCAATCTTTCAAGGCCCTCATTATAACACTTTGGGGCTTCTAGAAATTCATCTATTTGTAAAACACTAATGCACAGTAGAAAACCCTATTATTTTAATATAATTGTTTTAAGACTAAGCTCTCAGGATCTTCCTCCCCTGCCTTTTTAAAAAAAATGCTTACACACTGGAAGGCAAAGTTTTAGCAGTACACAAGTCACATGCAACCTATGAGGACCAGTCACCTCATTAACAAGTTTACCCAACAGCCTTTTCCTGAGTAACTCAGGAGTAGCATGTCCTTTGGTGCAGAAACAGTACATCAAACCGCAACCTGCAACCTACTGCTACTTTCCTCTGCAATCTCTCAGGTGCTTCCACCATAGC